AGGTGAGGGGGCGCGCGGCCCAAGGTCATCGGCCTGGGGAGGTGGGGGGTGCCCCTCAGGGCCTGGCGGAGGGAGGGGGCGTGGAAAACGTACCCCTACCCGGGACCCAGCGGCGCCCGAGGGGCGGGCGGGGCGGTGTGCGGGACGTGGACACCGAGTCCTAGGGCTGCCCGGAGACGTGGCCGGAGGCCTGCGCTGTGCCTGAAGAACGACACAGGGCTCCCACCGCACAGATGGGCACCCGTGGCCTAGCCTCCCTCTTCTCACTCCCGCCCAGCAGGACCCTTAGAGGATTTCTGCGCCAGCCCCTGATGTGTGCCTGAGGGTCCCTGTGAGCAGCAGCCCAGAGGGGGAAAGGATTTGCGGTCTAGTTTGGGTGGGTGGGCAAGGCCTACAGCCTTGGGCCAGTTCATCCTGCTCATGTAATTAACCGCAGGGACCTACTGAATGCCCCCATCTTTTGGGGGCTCACGCACATTTTGAGACACCTGGGAAATGCCTCAGCCTTGCCCAAAGCTGTTCTATTAAAACTTTATTATGGTATTACCTCATCTCAAAGTGACTTTAATAACCCTGTGAGTTGCATCTTAGGATCAGATTGAAACAAACTGTAAGGCCACTTGGTATCTTTCAACTTGGCTCAGGGCAGGAAAACCTAGTGAATAAACAGAGTAGAGAACGTGCCACGAGAGTCTGCAGGCTAGGACCAAGTATATCCTCAGCCCTGTCTCCCCAGTCCAGGCAAACTGGCTTCTCTGCCCTAAACTTTCTTTAAAATTGTGCTTGTGGAGCTGGGACAGTGGCTCAGTGGTAGAGCGCTTGCCTTGCATGCATGAAGCCCTGGGTTCGATTCCTCAGCACCACATAAGCAAAAAGAAAAAAGCCAGAAGTGGCACTGTGGCTCAAGTGGTAGAGTGCTAGTCTTGAGCTGAAGAGCTGAGGGACAGCGCCCAGGCCCAGAGTTCAGGCCCCGTGACCGAAAAAAAAAACTTTCTTTAAAATTGTGCTTGTGGGGCTGGGAAGGTGGCTCAGTGGTAGAGCGCTTGCCTTGCATGCATGAAGCCCTGGGTTCGATTCCTCAGCACCACATAAGCAAAAAGAAAAAAGCCAGAAGTGGCACTGTGCTCAAGTGGTAGAGTGCTAGTCTTGAGCTGAAGAGCTGAGGGACAGCGCCCAGGCCCAGAGTTCAGGCCCCGTGACCGCCCCCCCCCCAAAAAATGTGCTAATTGAGCCAGGCATTCACACCTGTAATCCTAGCTACTAGGGAAGCTGAGATGTGAGACCTGACTCAAAGGCAGTCAGGAAAGTGTGAGACTCTTATCTCCAAGTAACCACTAAAAAGCCAAAAGTGGAGCTGGGACTCAAGTGGTAGAGTGCTAGCCTTGAATAAAAAAGCACAGGGACAGCTCCCAGATCCTAGATTCATGCCCCAGCACACACACACACACACACAAAGGCTCATGGTGCCTTCCCATTCCTAGGTTCACAAAAGTGTGGGTAAACTACAAGCTACCCCATACTACTCCTATGTGGTCTCAGGACATTGCTCCCAGATTCCACTTAAGCTAACTAGAAATTCAGTTGCTAATTGGGGCAAGGGGAAAATGACCACACACACACACACACCAGCAAAGCAGTGGCCCAAGGCCCTAACACCCCAGTTCCCACTTATCTGCTCTGAAGGCAGAGGCTTCTTTTTGGGAAATAGCTTGGGGACCACAGGCTCACTGCTTCTGAATTGACTTTTCCACTATTTCCCTTATCCTCCAATTCCATCAGTTACTTGAGAAAAAGTCCCAGCTCGGGGCAAGCTATGCCCAGAAGAGCAGGAGCGATGGGCTAGATCGAGCTATGCCTTACTCATGGCTCCCACAAAACCAGTTCTGCCCACCTCCTCCCTGAAGTCGTAACAGCTGGACCACGAAGTTGAGGCCACAGCATGAGTGCTAAGGACGCACTCCGCTGGGCACAGCTGTAATCCGACACGCAGGAGACTGAGTTCCATGGGATCAAAGTTCAAAGCCAGCCCGGGCAGGAAAGTTCTGACACTCGCCTCTGACCAGCAAAACAGCTGAGGCCGGACTCGCGTGGTAGGGCCGGCCTTGGGCAAGCGCAAGGCCCCGGGGTCGAGGCCGGCCGGAGGCCCTCTGCCGCGCTGGCTCGGCCTGGCGGCCTGTGTTTCAGGGCGTCACATTCCACCCGGCCCAAGATGGGCTCCGCGGCTCCCCCGCCGCTGCCGCC